ATATAAGAGCCAGGCCTAGAGCGCAGCTCCCAGAGCGCAGCCAACAGAGGCAGCGAACAGACGCAGCAGTTTGCGCAGCAGTGTCTGGGCTCTGCCTGGGCCTTTTGTGGGCCTTGTTGGAAGTTGTGGAGACTTTCTGGGGACCCCCGAGGAACTAGACGGTGCTTGCTGCTAGCAGGAAGGGAGAGCTGGGCAAGGACTCCTGCAGGGGACCTTGACTTAACTTCTCCTGGGAAGTTCTAGCTAGGTGGGGCTGCTGCTAACGAGCTCTCTGGGCTGCCCTGGTCAGAGGGAGTTGGGGCTTTTGTTTCAGGTGGCTCCTGATTGGGTGGGTCAAGCACCCTTGTGAGTCACTGCTAGGCAGAGGCCTATATAAGAGCCAGGCCTAGAGCGCAGCTCCCAGAGCGCAGCCAACAGAGGCAGCGAACAGACGCAGCAGTTTGCGCAGCAGTGTCTGGGCTCTGCCTGGGCCTTTTGTGGGCCTTGTTGGAAGTTGTGGAGACTTTCTGGGGACCCCCGAGGAACTAGACGGTGCTTGCTGCTAGCAGGAAGGGAGAGCTGGGCAAGGACTCCTGCAGGGGACCTTGACTTAACTTCTCCTGGGAAGTTCTAGCTAGGTGGGGCTGCTGCTAACGAGCTCTCTGGGCTGCCCTGGTCAGAGGGAGTTGGGGCTTTTGTTTCAGGTGGCTCCTGATTGGGTGGGTCAAGCACCCTTGTGAGTCACTGCTAGGCAGAGGCCTATATAAGAGCCAGGCCTAGAGCGCAGCTCCCAGAGCGCAGCCAACAGAGGCAGCGAACAGACGCAGCAGTTTGCGCAGCAGTGTCTGGGCTCTGCCTGGGCCTTTTGTGGGCCTTGTTGGAAGTTGTGGAGACTTTCTGGGGACCCCCGAGGAACTAGACGGTGCTTGCTGCTAGCAGGAAGGGAGAGCTGGGCAAGGACTCCTGCAGGGGACCTTGACTTAACTTCTCCTGGGAAGTTCTAGCTAGGTGGGGCTGCTGCTAACGAGCTCTCTGGGCTGCCCTGGTCAGAGGGAGTTGGGGCTTTTGTTTCAGGTGGCTCCTGATTGGGTGGGTCAAGCACCCTTGTGAGTCACTGCTAGGCAGAGGCCTATATAAGAGCCAGGCCTAGAGCGCAGCTCCCAGAGCGCAGCCAACAGAGGCAGCGAACAGACGCAGCAGTTTGCGCAGCAGTGTCTGGGCTCTGCCTGGGCCTTTTGTGGGCCTTGTTGGAAGTTGTGGAGACTTTCTGGGGACCCCCGAGGAACTAGACGGTGCTTGCTGCTAGCAGGAAGGGAGAGCTGGGCAAGGACTCCTGCAGGGGACCTTGACTTAACTTCTCCTGGGAAGTTCTAGCTAGGTGGGGCTGCTGCTAACGAGCTCTCTGGGCTGCCCTGGTCAGAGGGAGTTGGGGCTTTTGTTTCAGGTGGCTCCTGATTGGGTGGGTCAAGCACCCTTGTGAGTCACTGCTAGGCAGAGGCCTATATAAGAGCCAGGCCTAGAGCGCAGCTCCCAGAGCGCAGCCAACAGAGGCAGCGAACAGACGCAGCAGTTTGCGCAGCAGTGTCTGGGCTCTGCCTGGGCCTTTTGTGGGCCTTGTTGGAAGTTGTGGAGACTTTCTGGGGACCCCCGAGGAACTAGACGGTGCTTGCTGCTAGCAGGAAGGGAGAGCTGGGCAAGGACTCCTGCAGGGGACCTTGACTTAACTTCTCCTGGGAAGTTCTAGCTAGGTGGGGCTGCTGCTAACGAGCTCTCTGGGCTGCCCTGGTCAGAGGGAGTTGGGGCTTTTGTTTCAGGTGGCTCCTGATTGGGTGGGTCAAGCACCCTTGTGAGTCACTGCTAGGCAGAGGCCTATATAAGAGCCAGGCCTAGAGCGCAGCTCCCAGAGCGCAGCCAACAGAGGCAGCGAACAGACGCAGCAGTTTGCGCAGCAGTGTCTGGGCTCTGCCTGGGCCTTTTGTGGGCCTTGTTGGAAGTTGTGGAGACTTTCTGGGGACCCCCGAGGAACTAGACGGTGCTTGCTGCTAGCAGGAAGGGAGAGCTGGGCAAGGACTCCTGCAGGGGACCTTGACTTAACTTCTCCTGGGAAGTTCTAGCTAGGTGGGGCTGCTGCTAACGAGCTCTCTGGGCTGCCCTGGTCAGAGGGAGTTGGGGCTTTTGTTTCAGGTGGCTCCTGATTGGGTGGGTCAAGCACCCTTGTGAGTCACTGCTAGGCAGAGGGAGGATGAGGTCAGCCTCTTCTCCGTGGTGCCCAGCAACAGGACAAGAGGCAATGGGCAGAAACTGAACCACAGGAAGTTCCATCTGAACCTGAGAAAAAACTTCTTCACTGTGAGGGTGACAGAGCATTGGAACAGGTTGCCCAGAGAGGTGGTGGAGTCTCCTTCCCTGGAGATATTCAAAACCCGTCTGGAGGTGATCCTGGGCAATATGCTCTAGGTGACCCTGCTTGAGCAGGGAGGTTGGACGAGATGATCTCCAGAGGTCCCTTCCAACCTAAACGATTCTGTGATTCTGTGATTCTGTGACTGAAGAATAAAAGGAGGACTCCTGGCAGCTCAGGCAAATAGCTGACATTATACTTAATTGAGTGCAGCTGGCTAGCATGTCTTCCGAACTCTTCACTACCAGAAAGGTAGTGAAGGCGGCAAGGGATGTCTCTGCTGGAATAGTCGTCTATGCTCCATTTCTAGTTATTTGAGAGAAAGAGGTGCTTTTAGGGCATGAGTGATCATTTTAGGCATCTTAGAAAGAGGGTTCATGTCTTCAGGCATCATTTTCAGATAAAATGAATCATTCTCATAATGCACTGATGATATTGATTAATTCTCTATTGATTTTAAAGGAAGGCTACCTCAAAAGTGTGTGTCTACAGTGTGGATGCTTGTGTTTAGTCCAGTGAAACAGATTTGGATCTTGGTCTTGTGCTGACTCCATTCTTGTCTGTTAGAGAAGGAAATTGTAGCTGACAGACTTATGCTAAGCTGAAGCTGACTCTTGCTTAGCATAAGTGTCTGACGTAGATGAAACCTGCAGGCCTTAAGGCCAAACTGTCCATGAACTCGAGAAGCATTGCTGGCAATGTAACCGACAAAAGCCAGCTAATGAAAATATGAAACCAGTTAATGAGAATTTAGAACAGGATAGAGAAGACAAATGGGATGCACCGGAGTTGTGGTTGACCCTTGAGAAGATAAGGGACTGTGGTAAACAAGGTTATGGCAACCAGCCTGGGATGTAGGCCAGGACCTGTTAGGAGGAGAGAGACACCAATCAGAAGGAGAGAGACCAACGACTCAGTAAAAAAGATTGGAGGAGACCTTCACTGGCAGTCAGGGAAATAAGACTGTAAAGGCTGTAATTACCCCAGAATTTCTTTGTTCGAGGTCCCTCCTCAGAGGCACCCAGCTCGAGCTGTTACTATACTGTACCGTCATTTAAATAAATAGTTAATTTTGCTGTTATACGTGCATGAGACTCTGCTCCTTGGAGACCTAGCGTCAAACTGTTCCCATAACATGCTTCATAAGCCTGTCAAAAGCCATGCTAGGTTTCATCATACTTCCAAGGTAATGAAACTTGTGACTGATTGATTGAATATCAAATTCCTCTGATAGAAAGGACAGTCTATACTTCTGTACTCGATAAATAACATCAGTTCTCTTCAAATTGGCCATTAGCACAAAGCAAATTAAAGCACATCAGAATACAGAAACTGTATTCTTTGACAGTGAGGACAGCCTGTTGAAAGATCACAGAATCACAGAGCGGTTTAGGCTGGAAGAGACCTCTGGAGATCATCTAGTCCAACCCCCCTGCTCAAGCAGGGTTGCCTAGAGCACATTGCCCGAGACTGTGTCCAGACAGTTTTTGTGTATCTCCAAGGAAGGAGGCTCCACAACCTCTCTGGGCAACCTGTCCAGTGCTCAGTCACCCTCACAGAAAAAAAGTTTTTTCTTATATTCAGATGGAGCTTCCTGTGTTTCAGTTTCTGCCCGTTGCCTCTCATCCTGTCACTGGGCACTGCTGAAAAGGGTCTGGCTCCACCTTGTTTACACCTTCCCTTCAGATATTTGTACACATTGATAAGATTCCCCCCGCAGTCCTCTCTTCTCTGGGCTGAGCAGTCCTAGCTCTCTCAGCCTCTCATATGTCAGGAGCTCCAGTCCCTTAATAATCTTAGTGGCCCTTTGCTGGACTTCCCCCAAAATGTCCATGTCTCTCTTGTACTGTGGAGTCCATAACTGGACCCAGCACTCCAGGGGAGGCCTCACCAGGGCTGAGTAGAGGGGCAGGATCACCTCCCTCCACCTGCTGGCAATGCTCTTCCTAAGGCAACCCGGGAGACCATCAGCCTTCTTGGCCACTAGGGCACATTGCTGCCTCATGGTCTGCTTGCTGTCCACCAGGACTCCCAGGTCCTTCTCGGCAGAGCCCCCTTCCAGCAGGTCAGCCCCCAGCCTGTCCTGGTGCGTGGGGGTTATTCCTCCCAGGTGCAGGACCCCGCACTTGCCTTTGTTGAACTCCAGGAGGTTCCTCTCCGCCTGTCTCTCCAGCCTGTACAGGTCCCTCGGAATGGCAGCACAGCCCTCTGGGGTACCGGCCACGCCTCCCAGCTTTGTAACATCAGCAAGCTTGCTGAGGGTGCACTCTGTGCCTTCCTCCAGGTCACTGATGAATACGTTGAACTCAAGACTGGAGCCAGTACTGACCCCAGGATACACCACTAGTTACTGGCCTCCAACTAGACTCTGCGCCACTGATCACAACCCCCTGAGTCCTGCCATTCAGCCAGCTCTCAGTCCACCTCACTGTCTGCTCATCCAGCCTGCGCTCTTCTTGAGCTTATCTTTGAGGATGTTACAGGAGACAGTGTCCAAAGCCTTGCTGAAGTCCAGGTAGACAACATCCACTGCTCTGCCCTCATCTACCCAGCCAGTCGTTCCATCCTAGAAGGCTTTCAGGTAATCTGCAATGAAAAATCTATTTGTCCTGCTCTGTAGGTCTCAACTTTGATAAACTCCGAGCATTTAGAGTTGGCAAGGCCGCTGAACAGATTGGAGAGATTTTTTGAAAAAGAGCCTACTAACTCCTACTACTTAAGATGGGAACAAAGCTGGGTCAAGGTCAGTAATCTCCTTTCTCATCTTGGGAGCCCACAAGGATGAGGTTCTTAAGTTTATGCCTCCTTTAAAGACTCTAAGACAATAACGAGGTCTTTGTGACTTTATCCCACGGCCTTCAAGAAGAGACATGAAGGATCTTTACTCTAGCTTACACACTTTTGGTTTTGTTCCCATTTAACATTTTAACTGAACCTGATGAATATAGAAAGTGACAGAAATGCCATCAGCGTACACCATCTGCCCATACTTCATCTGGTAATTCATAATTCTCTACATGAAAACTTTGAACATTCACTGAAAGATGTCGGTTGCAGTCACTAACAGATATCATACCAGCTTGGTAAGCTTGCCATTATCCTCTTCACAGAAATGAGATTTCCACTATCATTTGTACAGTTTCTGTTCCCTCGTTTCTCCTCAATAGTTTCAAAACCCGCTTGCTTGATTTCAGCTGACCTTGACAGATGGGTAGCGATCTTAAAGGTGTGAAGTTCCTTTCGGTTTCATAAAAATCAGCAGCTGGAAGAGGAGGGAAATCTAAACTGATGGTACCTCTTGGGCATTAATCATTCTCTTCCATTCCAAGAATCTGTGGTTGAGCAACCAATGCATGCTAACTATTGTCTGTCTCATCTTTTGCACAGCCGAACAGGGAACTGTGGAATAGAGGGAAGTCACGGGGGCAAGAGCTGATGGCCGCATGAGGAATGTTTGTTGTGCTGTGGACGGCCTGGACTGCCAGACACACATCCATTGGAAAAGAGGCTTGTTAATACCACTGCTCATGTAATAACTTGGGTAGCTTGGGATTTTGTCTATTTTCCTAACTTCAACAAATGGCTAGTAAGAAAAATAAGTAGACGGAACTTGCAGAATTAAGCTGAAAACAATGCTTGTAACAGTTGATTCTCAAATACCTAGAGCAGCTCTGAGTTTAGTAACCTTACTGTCTAAAAGATGGTATGTGGTTTTTGTTAATGCTAAAGAAATGCATTATTTTCACATACATTTGTCATTTAAATTGTAGAAGTAATAAGGTATGTCTTCTCCAACTGCATTGGAATGTATCTTGTTCCATTATGCTGGGGAGGAGTGAGAGAGACTGGCTGTTGCCTAGTGGTCTGTAACTTGGAAAGGCTGCCTTAATTGGTGTCAGTGCTGAAATATTGGTGCTAGCTTCACTGTGGGAATAGTTTTACCCTGTCTCTATCAGCCATTCAGTTGCATTATAAGTAAATAAGTTGGTGCTGAGATTGATAATGCCCTTTTTGTTTTGGAGACTTAGCTAAGTAAGACTGTTTTCCCAGCATATGCTTCACCATCCTGATGATTACATAAATCTCATATTAAGCCACTTGTTTAGATGCACTTTATTTAGTGCTTTTGTTAGTTATTTAGGCCTAGAGTGGAAAGGGTATTAAGGCACTTAATTCTGTCACTCCTTCCTCACAGTTCTTTGTTCTGGGTCTCAGGAGTTCTTGATAAATGCAGGAGGCAAACGTGCAATTTATCTCTTGGAAGTCTGTAGATCTGCCCTTTCGCTGATGGTACCCAAACAGAAAGACTGAGTCCACTGACAATTTTAAGAGATTTTAATTTTAAGTTTGTTTTTGTGTTGACTTTCCTTCCTTGTCTAATATGAGCTGCAAAACTCATACCATAGATTCACTAAACTCATAGACATGGACATCACAGTTAAAAGCACTGCCATAAGTATCTGTAACATTGCCAAAGCCTTGCCATAAGCCTACTTTGGCTCACACAGGCCTATGCCTTAGCATAGGCTGACGCATGTGGACTTCCTCATCACTCACCTCTTGTGCAATATAAACCCTTAAACTCTTGTTTTTGCTGATAGCTACAGCTGTAGGAAATCTTTTTGCTGATTTTTGGAGATTATTATTAGCTCATTTAAATGAAACTGCTGTTGACATGAAAAGCTTTGATACAAAACTAGGATGGCTTCATTGTCCTGCCAAATATACATAATCTGATAAGGTGCGTATATAAAAGCTAATGAGGATTAATGTATAGGTAGCATAATACTAACACTAGAAAAGACAGTAACTCCTCTTTAAGAAGAGAGAGGAAGAACCTTCTATGAAGATCTCATCTCCTCCACCAAGAGGACAGCACCTGGCCATGTTCAGTTTGGATGAATCTGCGAACAGGTATATTGATCACCAATGACAGATATCAAGCCAATTACATCTTGTTATTTTCTTTGAAGTTTCTGTGCTATATATGCTCATTAGCAAAGATTTCTAGCGTCCTTGCCTCTTGTTTTGAACAGTCATCTTGTTCTCATAAAGCAACAACTTGTAATAAGCAGTGAGGAAGAGCTGCCAGTCTACTGACGGGCCATGTATTCTCCACAAGTTTGTAGCACATGCAGATGCTGTCTGCATCTCTACATGTGAACAGTCATGGTGGGCACAGCAGGGCTTTCAAGTCTCTCCATCATCCACTGCTGCAGTTGTATCCTGAAAGATGCAAGAACAGGATTTTCAGAAGCAGCTGAGTGACTTACAAGCTGGATGTCTATGGTATGTGTGCTTCTGCAACATTCTGATGCTTTGAAAACTCAATTCTCCAATAATAAGGGTGCTCATAGGCAGACTTCCTGAGATCATTTCCTGCCTCAAGTGGTAGCAGTTAATAAGCACACATGCTGCATTGCATTGTAGAAGTGATAGAGGCCTAAGGGCTTTCTTGGCTAAAAATTGCACTGCGCAGAGGAGACAGCTCTAGGATCAATACAAGCCATCCTCTTTTGGTACATGAAACTATTAGGATCTGTCCAAACCTGTAATCAGTAATCCATTTCTCCCTTTGGTGTGACACCCACGATGCAGTATACCACTTTCTCTTGTTCCTGCTTGCCCACTCCAGTAACTCAATTAAATAGACAAGTCTGGGCTATGTGTGCACAAAGACATGAGTGCCTGATTCATGGCTCTTCCCTGCCATGATGTGGCATCCCTGCAGATGTGTCCCCATCCCCATGTGGGGATGTAACATTGAAGTAAGAGGCAAGGAGGGATGCACCCCTCCCCTCAGCATTACACAGTAGCAAGTGTATCTGTGGTATGAGATAGGTTAGTCCTCTTTTCTACTTCCATTCTTCTTTGCTTGTTTGTGAAAGAAATCAGCAATCAGATGTCATCGCATGATTCGGAACAGGAGCCACTAGTAAGATAAATAACACTTAGGCTTTCATCTGGTTCTGCCCTGGACTGTCCTGGTCTGTGAGCTTTGCTGGGGAGTCAGCCAATTGGCAGTGGAGGTTTTTTGTTTGAAAACACTTAAGGGGAGGATGCAGTGTTCCTTATTCTTAACTCTTCTAAAAAGGAAGATCAGCTAATGTCACTTGCTGCTAGTGAGTTTGGAGTGGCTTATCCCACACTACATTTCGCAAGGACCTTAAGAGGTCATACCAGCATTTCAGATTGTGCCTAGTGGGCTGCCAGTGGCCTGGGAGCTCCCTGCGAGCAGAGGTTCATTCTCTCTGGCTCTGGATGGTTCTCTGAGAGCCTTCTATGACGGGAAAATGTCGGAGCACAGTAGGAAAAGAGTTAAATGCTTGACCAACTGCAATCTATGAGGCACTGAATTCTTTCCCCATGCAATCCAGCAGCCAGTGTCAGGACAACACTATATTTAGAAAGCTGATAAAGGTTTGGTGCTGACAGTTGTCCTGCCCGCTGATGAAGAAGCCACAGAGAGAGAGAGAGAGAGAGAGAGAGAGAGGGCAGCTGATTTCTCTCTCCCTAATACTATTCCCTGCCAAATTTCCTGCCCTCTTTACTGGACTCCTTCACTGTGCCTCAGACAGGAATCTACCAATTTTCCAGCAGAGTCTTCTACATACTGACGGTAAGTGCTGTTTCATTGCTTTCCTCCTTTCCTGCTTGCTGCCTCTGTAAGTGGCAACCACTCCTCAGCCCTGGTTTATGGAACATGGCTGTGTTCCTCGTGTCTGAGACCAGCTGCTGGGGCACTTCAGAGCCCTCATGGGCTGTCATGGCACAGCAACTCAGGAGCCTCTGTCTGAAACCAGAGGAAGTGACTGCTGCTACTTTTTCATGTTTCTAAACAAATAGCAGCCCCCTCACTCTCCTGTGTACAGAGTGGGTACGGTAAGCTCATGGCAAAGGATTCCAAGGACAAAGTCCTGGGGCTTAAAAAACTGCCTGCAGCCAAGGCTTTGGCCCTTATCTTTAGGAGTGTTTCATTTTGGGGAGGAGAGGTCTCATGTTTCTTGCCCCTAACGCTCTGGAAGTCTCTCTTTTCAGTCCCGTTCTGGCTGGGTAGAGCTCCTTCTAGAGACTACTCACAGGCTGAGCTGGCCAGGGAGGGGATAGAGTTTCTACCCTGCCACCCCTTCCTTCCTGCGTGCTTACTCATGGGCAAGAAGGGCATTGGCATGTCCTGGGAACCAGCCAGGGAACTGCACAAGGCCACGGGAGTGACAGGGCACCCTGATAGACAAGTCAGTATGACAGACTCACAGCGAAGGCTTCTTGCACAGTTTCGCCCTCCGCCACCACTCAGAAAGATATCAGAGCCCCTTCTGTTGCATCAGCCTCCAGCTCAAATCTCCCCTGTTACTGCAGAAGCATAGGCCAGCAGTAATGAGCTGTGTTGTGTCTGTGCAGCCAGGGGACGTCAGACAGCTTTGTGCCCCCTGTATAGACTTCTGTAACGATCCTCCACTGTGCTCTGCCCCAGTTCTAGGAAATCCTCTCACAGCTGCCATGGCAAGCAGCAGAGATTCAGACAACGAGCAAGTAGTGCCAGATGAAGAGGAAGAGAGGTCAGATGTGAAGGCAGTGCAGGCCCACTATCTCCGCAGCCCCTCCCCAAGCCGGTGAGTATATTTGCTGCAGGGGCTGCCGTGGTCTCCCAGTAGCACATAATAAATTGCTTGGCTTTCCTTTTCTTCCCATCCACTCAGATCAAGAACACAGCAGAAGGCTTCCCTCCCCTCTCTGAGGCAGGGGGTTAGCGTGGCAGCATAGTCCATGCTGGCAGGAAGAAAGACTTCAGAGATGGGACTCTTACGCTGTTTATTCCATTCAGCTGAGATTGTACACACACACAGAGGGATAAAGTCCAGAAAGCATTACTGTGGGACAGTGTCTTTGCTTATTTGCTCTTCCCTATCACATCCTCTCACGTTGATTCCCATGATGAAAATTCAGATCTGGATTTCAACTCTTCTCAAAGTCAGCCCTGTATTTCAGTCTGTTATAAGGACCTGTGAAAATTTTATGTCAGTATGAGCTCTTAGGTGCCTCAGAAAAACTGAAGCTCTTTGGATTTGAGTTTTTGGTTCAGAGCCATCTTTAGCGATAGGGCTTGGGCACAGGACAGAAGATTGTTACTGCGCAAGCAGAAATGGAGTTACCTCAAACCAAATAAGCATGATTAAATGTGTTTTCTCCTAATACAGGGAAAAATACATCCCTTTGTACTCCTTTCCTAAAGCAAAATGCCCTGCAGGGCTTTCTGTACACTTTGAGATGCTTCAGCTGAAGGCAGGCAGTAGGGATCAAGTTTGAAAAGAACCTACCCTGGTGGACCTCAAGAAGTAGGAGTTTATAAAATGTTTGTCATTAAGAACCTTACCGATGGGGCACTGCAGCAAAATGAAGATAGAATGCTTATTTCATTTAACTATATGCATTTTAAAATTGTCTAGGAAGTTTATGGGTTCACATAAAGTAAAATTATATATTAGTCTTGGTAAATCACTCTCCTTCTGCTAATTGGTCATTCAAAATGAGCAGAAGCACCTCTCCAATTTATTTCCCTTGCCTTGCCTTGCCTTGCCTTGCCTTGCCTTCCCTTGCCTTCCCTTGCCTTCCCTTCCCTCCCCCTTGCCTTCCCTTCCCCCCCTTTTTTTTTGCTGTCCATGCCAAACACAACCATAAAGATTGCAAAGTCCCTTCCAAGCAAAGTGAGGCCTTGGAAGTATCCAGGCTTGGAAACAGCAGCTCTGCACGTGTATGTTCCATGGATGCTTGCGGCAGCTACTGGCAAAATGTGTTGAGGCTTTGGTAGCCAATATCACCAACTTTTATCATTCTGTTGAGCTGTGAGGCAATGCTTACGGTAGGAGGAATTAAAGGCAGTGCAGGGCTGCAAATTTGTCTCAACCTCTGTAAATAAGACTGAGACATCCTCCCCCTGCCCCCGGCTCATCTCATAAGCTCCCCTGAACAGCTAGAAAATAATTATTTTTAGTCACTGTTGAGAAGTGCTGGAAGCCAACTAACTAACCTAGGCAGTCCTGCTAAGGAGGTTACAGATAGCTGTCTTCCATTTTGGGTCTGCAGAATGAAAGCAGGTTAGCTCAGCAGAGGCTTTTTGTGCACTGTGACTGCACATAAATCACCTTCCCTCTTCTGTTTTAATTAAACAAAAACAAACAGTGCATTGCAAGTACAGCAAGCCTGCATCTCCACATAGCTTCTGTGATGGCAACAAACTTGTACTGATGATACGTATAATCTCTTTGGAAGGAAATGTAGAGGGTGCACATCTCTGCAAAATATTTTGTGAGGATGTGTCTAAATAAGAACAGAAGGCTCACTTTGACTGTGTAGGTGGCCCCAGATGGGAATATATTTTTTTCAAGATTGTGGCCCTTTTTTTCCATAACAAAAGCTTGTGTAAATCACTCTGTGAGTCAAAGAACTATCTGGAAAGCTGTTTGTGGGTTTGTGGGTTTCATAGTTGTTTCTGACCTCCAACTGGACAGCACTGCATTATGATGAGAGTGACTGGTCGCAGATTCATGCTATGAAGTGAACAGTGTAGTGAGTACTTCTGGAGAAGTTGCAGCCCCTGATAACTCAAAGGGTATATAACTAACTGCAGACAGTTAGTTAACAGAAAAAAGGTGCCATAATTTGTTTTGAATTGTTCAAAAAATTCTAATTAGGACCATGTTTATGCCTGTCTCTCTGAGAGCCACTTACAAGATTTTTCCCTATGATCCGTCCATCTCCCAGTCTCAAACCAGCTGCTGATCTCTACCCAAAACTTCTCTGCTCCTCCACAAATCTATTCTCTTGCACTCCCATCCCACTGTCTGCAGCTTCTCTCCCATGGGACCTATCTTGACAGCCTGCAAACACTAGCATATTTGAAGCCTGTTGCACCATCCTGGAGACTGGGGGGGAGGGGGAGGGGAGGAAGGAGAGCTGGGGCTTCCTGTCTATTCATCAAAGGATCCTCTCTGCTCCAATTCCCTGCTGCTGTCTTCTGGAATGGGTGAAAAGGGCTACAATCCTGGAGATGGGGTTACAGTGGAGGGCATTTGCCTAATAGGAGATATGGTTGGTTGACAGATATTCAGTGATATCGGACACTGATACAGAGAGCATCTTCATGGAGCCAATCCATCTGTCATCTGCTGTGGCTGCCAAACAAATAATCAATGAAGGTAAGAGGAGGAAAGGTAAAAGACATATATAAGTAATAGAAACTTGAGTTGCACTTATTTTGCCTTTTTCATCCAGAGATCTCAAAATGCCAAATAAGCCTTTATGAGCAACCACACCTGAGATAGATATGAAAATTACAAAGAAATGACAATGTACAGAAAGGTTTGGTGGCTTCCTTTAAAGCTGTGCAGTGAATCTGCTGCAGAATCATGTACTACAGTGCTGGATACAGTTTGGTTGTTAGTTGCTAGTTGTAACAAGCTGTCTTCCTCCATTCTGTTAGGGTTAGAACCAGTGCGTACTTAACTCCATGGCCTTTGGCCAGTGTGCATCTCTGAAGTGAGGGGAAAGTGTAATATGCTGTTCCCATTACTAGCTACCTTAAGGCTGCCTGATAAGCGTGCACATGCACACCTTTCAGACAGAATGGTGTGATGCTATTGGGGAAAATAGAAAGCCACAAGAGTTGTCCCAGGAACAGAGAATGCCAGGTCATATATTTCCTTTGTTTTTACATGCTTTTAGTTACAATGTCAGTTTATTCCAGAACTGAAAACAAAGGATGTCAAAGTAGATTCAGTATGTCCCAGGATGTTAGAGTCTGCGCAGCAGTTGATGGTGGAAGACCTGTACAACCGAGTTAAGGAAAAGATTGATGACACCAGCTTGTTCAACACACCATGTGTGATGGACTTGCAGAGGGCACTTGTGAAGGACAGGCTGGAGACCCCCAGGGATGCTGTGGATGAAGTCTGGCCTAACGTCTTCATAGCAGAAAAGTGAGTGTCAACTTTCGTCATCAAGTTTCACAAGATTCCTAGTGAAGGATCAGATGAAACCATGAAAGGCATAACATGTATTACATGTATCTAATACCTTTCATCCCTGGAGAGCCCAAAGGTGTATTTTAGAATATGCTCACAAAGATTGCTGTATGCTGAAAAGCAAGTAGTATTGAGAGTTCAGCAGTAGAATTCAGCAGCTTTTTTATGCTATTTTAGTGCTTCAAGCAATTTAGGAATGGAAAAGGGAAGTGAGCTCCAAATTAAACTATTCTGATTGGAATTTTGCCCTGAAATTGGGACTAAAGTACTTACTATGTAAAAGAGTGGGGAAAAAAATGCCATAGCCAATATTGGGTGGAAATGGCTAGGTCTTCTGGACCATGGCTCAGCTGTCTGAGGCACCTGTGCATGTGACCAGGACAGAATTACAAGAGAATATAATATTAAGCATCAATTATGGGCTGATAAAAATGGAGAAATGAGTAAACCACCTGAACCTAAGAGGGCAGGATGAGTTTAAAATCAAGCTGGAGTGGAACTGAGCATGCAGCTATACTGGCGAGAGCAAGTTTCTTATTTTCTTTTCCCAATGAACATGGGAGAGAAATATCTGTAGAATTCTTAAACGACCTTAAGGCTGAGAGGAGCAGCGTGTTGGATGAGTAACGCAGATTACGAATTCTGTAGCACATGTAGCAGACAGCTTCTTTCCTACCTGAAAATAGGAACACCAATATCTAACATCTCTTCTTCTTCCCTGAAGAAGCGTTGCAGTGAACAAAAGCCGTTTGAAGAGACTGGGGATCACTCATATCTTGAATGCAGCTCATGGTACAGGTGTATACACGGGACCAGGTTTTTACAATGGTCTGAATATCCAGTACCTAGGCATTGAAGTGGATGATTTTCCAGATATGGATATCTCCAAACACTTCCGTCCAGCTGCTGAGTTCCTGGATGAAGCACTGCTGACTTACAGAGGTAAGAGGAAAGGATTATACTGGTTCCAGAACACTTGGAAATTAATGGCTCAAAGTGTTACTTTAATAAACAGCTGGTGCCACATTTGTAGTTGGTCAGAAGGCAGGGTATTTTGATCTTTGCATCCAGGTATGGTGAGCACTTTTTGCTCATTTCTGTCATGCCTCATACAAAAGAGAAAGGGAGCAGACAGCAATAGGGGGAAGCCCAGTGGTCCCTGCTGCAAGCCTCATGTCTTTGGTATCAAACTTGGGGGCACGCCACCTCCCTGAGCTTCTTTGAAAGTATTGCAGTGGGATGAAGCACTGCTCCAAGTTGCTGTATTCCTGTACGCTATAATTCTCAGTTTTGCCAAGATGCTTACTGCAACAGAACAGGCGGATTTACTAGAAAAATCCAAACAGTTTGATTCAACTGGATGTGTACATGCAGGCTACTGTAAAATTTGCTGGACTCAAATTCCATGGCAACCGTTATTTCTGTGAACCTCCAGTGCAGACTGATCATTTTGTAGCAGCTTCAGCAGACAGTTAAAAAAAAGTCTATATAGATTTAAATATGAAAATGAACACCAGAATCAGTGATATTGCTGATGTTCTTTATATACTTATTCAATTCATTCAATTTTTGTATAGGGAGAGCAAACTACATGCTAGTGGAGGTGAAAGTAAGAGAAGTGAGAAGTCTTAGTAGCGGAATTAGGGTGAAGTTAGATGAGACGAGTTGCAACAATTTTAACAATCACTGCCACCACCATGGGGAAGGAACATTCCGCTCTGGCTTTATTCATCACTCCCATTTCTTCCCTCTGCATGTCACTGCAGACTCTTACTTGGTGCCACTGCTGGCATTTAACAGTGCCTCAGCTCACTAACCCAGCAAAAAGCCAACCCGACAAATAACAGATGTTTTTCCTCTGGGTTAGTGAGTTGAATTGGCTCATTAAAGGGCCCAGCAAGTACCAGATCCCACCCAGGAAAGGATGCAGGGAGACAGAAGTGTGTTGTAAGAAAACGGATGAGATCTCACCCTTTTCGTGAGCTGTTAGATAAGCTTTAAGGTGGTTAAAACACTTAAAAGGCAACTGTGACTTTTGATACTAAGAAAAGTATAAAAGACATTTTGATATTGCAGGAATAGGTACATTAAGTGAATACTTAAGGTAACATTAACAGTCAGAGGGTACTTAAGGTAACATTAACAGTCAGAGGGGTGATGTTTAAACTGGCTTCATTAAGTTTCAATGTAAACAGTACACTGATAACTGGAGTTTTTCACAAATCTGAGAACAGTAATTTCAGCTGTTTGCAAGCCAACAAAGCCTCATTTATGCTCTCTTCCTATTTACAAGTTTTTCTTTGTAACTATAATTTGCTATAGAAGTAACTTTAAAAAACAAATCTTCCATGCCAAAGCTTAGTTTGCTTAGTTTGCCACAAGAGGCGGCTTCTGTGTAAATGCCATGAAATACAGCAGATCCTCAGCTTTGATTCTAGCTCTTGCAGGCAGTGTTTACAGAACAGTGGGTCTCAGTAGTTTGGAGCAGATTATCAGAGTCAAAATCAACTCTGTTCTGCTAGTTGCTTGGTCCTCCTGCTTCTGAGATACAATATGACTCTGGCCTCCAGCCAGGCTACATATAACTGTTTCAGTGAACCTTGCAAAAAAAGCAAATCTGTGTTCTGGCAAAAATATAACTAAATTAATATCAAATTGTATTTAAGTCCTACAATGTACCTTATAAAAATTAAGTTATTTGCTTATCATCCCAGTACCTTCCTGGAGGCTACTATTAACATCTCCCTTTTCACCTATGGGGAAACTGAAGCATGGAAAGCTTAAATGTCTTACCAGCAAGTCAAGAATGCTGTATTTCTTGTCTTTCTAGTTCCTATTAAAAGCTTCCTGATTATTTGGGGAAGTGACGGTATAGGTAAAAATATGAATATTAACTTGTTCTAGAACATGCATGTCCACAGCTCTTGAAACTAATATGCTTTTTGTTCACCTCTCTCCGGATTTTTATTAAGACAAAACAAAGAAAACTAACAAGAAATCTTTAGTATTGGTTTCAGTCACAGAAACATGTAATCTGATTTTTAACAGTATTCAGAAAAAGCCTGTGTACTACATATCAGAGCAATCTCTATATGTTATTAGAAATAGCTAATTACTTTTATATTCAATATCTGCAGGCAAAATCCTTGTCAGCAGTGAAATGGGAATCAGTCGCTCAGCTGTGCTGGTGGCTGCTTACCTGATGATCTACCACCATATGACCATTCTGGAGGCTCTCATGACTCTGCGAAAGAAGCGTGCCATTTATCCCAACGATGGCTTTCTGAAACAGCTAAGAGAGCTCAATGAGCAATTGTTGGAGGAACGAGAGCTGGAGAATACTGGAGATGATGATGTCACTCCCAGTCAAAGTCCTGCTGTCCATGCAGGGACCTCTTCCCAGCTGTCTGGAGTTGGGGACTCAGAAAGCATCATGGGAGCCAAAGCCCATTCCATTATAGTAGAAGAAGAGGACACCAGCAGCCTCCTGGGTAGTCTTATGAGCTCTTCATCGGTGGGAAAAACTAGCTGCGTTTCCAAACACTCCACCCTCATCAGTGAGGAGGAAGAGGAACAGCTGTATGAGGAATGGAGGAAGAAACAAGGCCTGCCTGAAAGGGAACCAGCAACTAACCATGGGAGAAGAACATCTCCAAAGTTTCTGGCTCAGGAAGAGGAACAATCTGAGGAGGATGTGGAACAGATGATCCATGACTGGCAGTGCAAAAATGAGAAATATCAAATGGAGGGTCCACCTCGGGAGGAGGATGGAGACTTCAGCATGGGAGGAAGACCTTACCCATCACGTGAATGCAGTGATGTTGAGAGTGTGAGCAGTCTTGAGATCCGAACCCTAAAGCAACAGCTGGAAGCCAGTAGCTGTAACAGGATGAGGAGGAGCCGCACAGGCTCTCTTTCTTCAGAGAGCACTTGGGACATGTGGAACCAGAGAATTCTGGAGATTGAGAAGGAAGCCGCTCAGAGGTATCATTCTAGGAGTAAAAATGGTGGGGAGAGCTGGTCCTCAGAAACAGGAAGAAAGGAGAGGGATGTGGATGAGGAGAGCGTGTTTTCAGACAGTAGCTCCTTTTATAATTTCTGCCAAAAGAACAAAGACAAACTGACTCCTCTAGAAAGGTGGAAGGTCAAAAGGATCCAGTTTGGCTTTCACAAGAAGGATTTAGAATCATCATCATCTTCTGCTCCATCTCCAGCTGAAGAAGGCAGCCAGACAGGTGGGGAGGTGACAGAAGGGAAGAGCTTGTCAGATATTAACCTGTCTGCTTACCAGGCTTGGAAAATGAAGCGGCAGAAGAAGGTAGGCAGTGAAAGCAAGGACGAATTTGTGGAGCTTGCCAAAAGTGAAGATTCTGTTTCAGCTAAAAAGAAGCAGAGGCGAGTAGAGCTCCTTGAACGTTCAAAGAAGATCTTAGAAGAAAGCCAGTCCATGTGCAGCTGGGAGACAGACAGTACAGTGAGTGGGAGCATCCCATTGTCAGCTTTCTGGCCCTCAGCACCTTCTGCAAGTGGTACTGAGGATGCAGTTTCTGCATTGAGCATGCAGACAAATCACTCATCTTTATCCCAGGCCAGGAGTAGTGCTGGGGCAATGCAGCCTCAAACACCAAATATACCCCTCCCCAACCTCCCAGTTGGCCCAGGTGACACAATATCCATAGCAAGCATTCAGAATTGGATCGCTAACGTGGTCAGTGAAACCATTGCTCAAAAGCAAAATGAGATCATGATGCTGTCTCGTCCATCTTCTGCAATGGCTTCCAGCGTAATGTCAGGAGACGTTAACAGGCGTGTAGATGATGATAAAATTTCCCTTCTCAGTGCTCAGAGTGGCTCATCCCTTGCCACCTCTCAGCTCCGCCAGCCGGACTTACACAGGGCTGAGTCTCAGTCTGTCCTGTCTTGCAATACCTCAGTCAGTGCAAGGACAGAAGGGACTAGTTCAAACATGAAGGTCACACAAACAAGCAAACCACTGTACAGCCTCTTCGCCGATGATGTTGACCTGAAGAAACTCAGGAGGAAGGAGAAAGAGATGCAAATGGAAATGAGAGAGAAAATGTCAGATTATCAAATTGAAAAGGTGGTCACAGACAATAAACGCAGCACTTTATTTAAAAAAAAGGTGACCAAAGGAGAGGAAAGTGAAAAGGAAGATGACACAGAGAGCGCATCAGGCAGCCATAGATACTCCTTGCAAGCAGATCTCGACAGAACTGATAGAGCGTTTGCTCTATCCAGTCAATGTGCAAATGCAGGTGAACTGAAGTCAGAGGCAGAGACTGATATTACCAAGTGGCTCAGTGGCGTGAAAGAAAGAGAACCATCATACCATGATCAGAGCGAGAAGGTTAGAGAGAAATATAACAGATCATCGAAAGTTAGAGAGATGGATTCTGAAACATCCAGTTATAGATTCTCCAGATCCCAAAGAGAAGAGCTAAACAGCTGTTCTTCCTATGAGTCAAAAGGAGATTCACTGAGAACCATGTCAAGATTTTCTTCTGCTTCCGCAGTAGAGGACAAAAAGATGTATAAGTACACAAGGTCAAGGGTCAGTGAGACCACAAGTGCGAGAGAAGAGAGCCCAGAGCTGTATGTTTTCAGACGAACACCTGAACGGTCCTTTGACTCTGAATCCCCTGAACCATCTACACAGAGTCGAGTTAGATCTCATCATGTGGAGGAGTGTGAAGAGGAGGCCAGATCGGACACGTCAGAATTTGGAGCTAAGAGAAAGTTCACCCAGAGCTTTTCAAAGTCTGAAGAGGATGGAAAGAAAGAGGCAAAAGTGGAACAAAATGAAGAGAGATTTGCATCAAGAGCATTCTCTCAGTACAGGCGAAGCATTCGTAAAGAAGAGGAAGAAGAGATGGATGATGATGCTATTATTGCTGCTTGGAGAAGCCGACTAGAAGAAACTACTGCAAAGCTCCGGCGGAGAAAGGAAGAGTGACCAAGGATCAGATTATAGGAACACAAATAGAGTCACAGAGTCACAGAATCACTCATCATTATATTTCTGATAATCCTTTGTGGTTTGTAGGCCATTTCCTGCAGATATTTCTCTTTTCTTAATCAAAAGCCATAAAGGGAGGAGGTCAAGTTTTGGAAGTGTTTGTGGTTTGTCAGAAAGAAGATGCTACTGTTAAATGATCAATGTAGGTAGGAGCGCAAAGTTAGAAGCCATTAGGAGCCAGAGGACATTTCAGCAGCAAGAGCAAGTAATGGTGGCAACTCAGTTCAAAAGACCAATCGCATCCCATTTTGGTTATTTCAATTTTCAGCCTCGTTAAAGACTGGACATATTTTTTCTAGGATCCTTTTGATCATAAATGGGAGAAGCCAACAGCCTTTTCAAGGAACTTGAAGAACGTTCCTTTCTTAATCAGTTTTACTTTATCCCACTGAGAAGATATTGCCAGGTAGGCTTCATTTTCTACACCAGTCTTAGGATTGTCTACAGAAATAAGACAGTTGAGGTGAATAACTGTACTATTTTCCTTCACTGAGTAACTGAAGCAAAGTGAAATACTAGAAACAGGAAAATGCCTCCTTTTAATTTGAAGTTCAAAGCAATAATTTATGTATTCTTGTGGTACCATTGTTGTCTATTAGATGGAGTCAGCTCCACTCCAGTATGATTGGTTCATGCTGATAACTTTGGGTCAACAAGAGGAAAGATGCTGTAATAGTAACAGCCATCTAAAAATTATGTTCTGATCACTAGATCAGAACTAGAGTTTTGATCACTCTAAAGAGACAGAGTTAGGGTTAAGTTTAGCATAACGTTACAGTGGGTTTCTGGAGCACTGACTTCAGTTTGTTGTATGAATGCAGCTCAGCTAAGTCTGTGCTTTTATGTCTATAGTCAAATTGTCATGTGTTGTTTTCAGGATTATTGCCTTAAAAGAAAAGAGTGATAGGCAAACTGACCTCTTATAATACAATGATGTGTAACTAAAGCTTTGGTAGAAGGCACAGTGCAAAGATTTACAGAAGGACAAAATGTATGGCTGATGAATGCAGTACTTTGAAGCTCATTTTTAGGAAATGGTAAGTTTAGCTGACATGTTACAGTTAGCGTGCTGTTTGTGTCCGGTGAGCAACAGAGCTCACTTTTAAGAGTGAGCGAAGGGAACAGTCTCTGTGTTAAGTTAGTGTAGAGCTGTGGGTCGGAGCCTTTCTGTGGCTTGCAAAGCCTCATGAGCTTCAGTGTGACACAGCAGCTCTGCCAGGCCTGCCACAGCATCATTTGTGTGGCTGGTATGATGCTGTGCCTTTAACACATCAAAGCACTCAACTCTCTGTCACCAGTCAACATCCTCCAGCTCTCTCTTTAAACAGCTAGGCTAGTTTCTCCTAACTGATCTCCATCCTGGAATTATCTGTTCCCTCTCCTATATGGACTGTATTTTGAAACAACAAAACCTTCTGGCACGGCTGACTGTAAAACAAAGCACAATGGAGGGACGATGCAACAGTGTAGCATTGCTCTCTCACAGAAGGTTTTTCTTGCCATTGTCTTGTTATCTCCTCTCCCTCTTACTGTGATGTTAGAGCTCCCTATTATTATTATGTTAGTACCTCTCAGTATTTTAATTGTGTAATATAGACAGTAAGCTCCACAGGGCAAGGACCTGGTCTTTATCCTTATCAGTATGGTGCCATGCACATCAGCAGTGCTATCTAAATAATGGTTACTGATAACAAAATGCAGCTGCCAATTTTCCTAAACTTACAATCATTTCTCTCAACTGTAACTCACTGATTAGACATTATCCCTGCTTCTGTGAAGATAAAGATGTCTCTTTCTGACAGCCGGGACTAGGGTAAATGATAGCTACTTATTGCCAGGTGAATGAAAGGGAGTCTTAAAATCAGATGATTGAACAGTAACAGGGGTATAAAAATAAGAAAAAGAACATATTTTACTTGTGTGGGGATTTTTTTGAGTAAACTCAGATTACATGTTTCAAGTACATAAGGAACATGGTCTTGTTAATGTTCCAGGCGTCCAGAGATGCTGTAAGGCTTATAATGCACTTCTACGGCAATATAATATATAATACAACGCATCCCTTACTTCTGCCTGCTTCTGTGAGGTTTTTCTTTAAAACAGTGTTATTTCAGGCTTTAATTCACCTTATGAGATTTTTTATTCAATTTCTGCAATGATGTGTGCTAAGATAGGCATTTTCCTCTTTTCTTTATCCCTGGTGAAGTTGCTTTGTGCAGAACAATTTTATGCATATGTGTAATTGGAGCTTGCTTTGTCAAGGGGCTAGTTTCAGTCAAGAAATGGTCTTAAGTATAAGCACATGAATAGTCCTCTGTCTTCAACAGCTCACAATATTAAGCAGTTATTTAAGTTTTAGTGGCTCAAAGTGTGCAATACCTTCTGGGACTGAATTTGTTTTTTGATCAAAGGCTGGTTTCCTCTGAAAATCTCTCTTCCTATGACTGGCTACTACTCTCAACAAAAATGTCCGTTCTCTGCAGGTACTGTAGGGGGCATCTTACACTGTAAAAGATGAACATCATCTGATGTAGTCATTGATTTCATTTTGCACTATACAGCACAGCCTTTTGTTTGGGTAGCATTTTGATTTAAACAGTATTCCAGGTCTGCCACACGAATAAATTATTCAAGACTGAGGGGCAGTATACAATTCTATAACAAGACTGAGCCAAACCATCCTGATAGCAAGTTTTGACCCTTCCGGGAAAGGGTTAAGTGGGTTCTGCTGACTCACTGAGGTAGGTGGCTTATTAGTTCACTCGTGTAAAAGGGAGATAAAAATGGCTTTCTGGGGAGAAACCATGTAAGATGCTGGCTGAACAGTCATGAGGGAGAAGCCTTAGAAGCAGCTGAACTCTATTTTCTTATTGCTTATATCTTTGCTAATAAAGGCAAACCCCCAAAGCAAGAAGGGGGTGGGGTAATTTTGGACTCCATTCAGTGTATGGCCTGTGTTTTAAAGTGAGTTGGGAAAGGCTCCAGCTCACAGGTATAAATTACATGAAACAGTGACATAAAGACCTTGCATGGTGAAAATATTAAAGCATTCAGTCATAAGACCAATAACCAGGAGAGACAGAAATGAAGAGATCGAAGGCAGGCTAGAAAGTCAGGTTTTAAGATGAGATTTTAGGAGACAGGGAATCAGTGAAAGGGAAGAGATCTGCACAGATCGTTTCAGGTGACCAAGGCTGCAGAGAGAATGCTCTTTCAGCAACTAAACTAGTGTGACACTAGATTGAAAAACTAGGTAAATAGCAAATTTATCTGGGACAGATTCTTCAACAAAGATGCCCTGGGATTCATATTTTTGCCCGACCTCAGTTGTCTGCTGTAGACAGGAGGGGTTTTTTTTTTGGCGTTGTGTAGTGGAAGGTGAAAGTGCAAGGAGCATCCATATAGCCAGATAAAAAAATAAACACGGGAACATCAGAAAGGCCATATGAGGTCAGACCAAAGGTCCATCTAGCTCAATATCCTGTCTCTGACAGATACCAACAGCGGATACCTAGGGAGGAGTATAAGAGCAGGAATATAAGTGATATTTTCCTAGCATGATCTCCCAGCCTCCAATCATTTGCAGCCCAAGGCCCTCCTGAGCTAAATGTGATATTTTTGTATTTAATAGGCCTTGATAGATTTTCCTTCTATGGAGGTACCTAGTCATTTTGGAGTTACAGCCATTGTAATCTTGTACCCAGTAGCCTCCATGATCTCCTATGGCAAGAAGTTCTACAACTTACTACACATTGAATGCTAAACCATCTCCTTCTTGTCTGTTCTGAACCTGCCACCTACCAGCCTCCTCTGATGCCAAGAGCCAATCTCCATTTAGTATCTCTGTGCCCCACAAGATTGTAATGACCTCTGTCATTATGCCCCACTCTTAGCTATCTTTTTTTCAGGCTAATTGAGTTACTCATTCTTCATATGAGAGCTGTTTCATGTCTCTGATTGTTTTGGCCATTCCTATCTGAACCCTTTCCATTTCTACTTTATCATTTTGAGATGAAGGACAAGATCCTCACACAGGTATTCAGCACACAGGTGCAGCAGAGATTTATCCTGTAGCATAAGGACCTTCTTTATTCTGTTCTCTTGTTCCTTCCTTATTAACTCCTAACAGTTTACATGCTTTTTTGGCTGTTGCTGAGCATCAAGCTGACATTCTCATTGAACTATATATTATATCCACAGAATCTTGTTGCTGGGTGGCAATGGTCAGCTCCAAGACCATCGTTTCATATGTTAAGTTTTCTTATGTGTATTAATTTACATTTATTAACCTTGAACTACATCTGCCATTTTACTGCTCAGTCTCTCAGTCTTATTAAGTCCTTCTGCAGTTCTTCACAGCTGGCCTGTCATTTCTGCTACTTTGTTTTCTTAATTCCCTTTGAAAGGTGTGGAGACTGAGAGTATGTAGGAAGCAGAGAAGTTAAGGAGAGATAAAGACATTTGATGTTGGTCTGAGGGAAGTAAGAAGTAAGGAAGTGTAAGAACGCTGGAGAGCTAAGAGGTGTGAAGTGTTCAAAAGAGATCTGAAGACAATAGGCAAATTAAGGAGAAGATCTTGGATCTCCATCAAGTGGATGGAGAACGTAAGGCATGTATGGAAGCTGAAAAGGCTAATGTTTGTCTGACAGAGGAAAAATTCATTTGTTTGGATGTATAAAAATTGTGGGGAAAGATTATGGGGCAACCTCTGTGTGAGGGAAGGAGATGATGGGATTTACATAAATTATAGGTTTGTGAGAAATGCAAAGGGGACTGTGCAAAATAGGAATGGTGACAGATATTAATGGGACATGATAGAGCTATACCTGTGGTAGACTGGGAACTCAACAAGGCAACAAAAGGAGCCGAAACGTTACCAGAAATAGTTATTCCTTTTTCATCAGCTGCATTCTGCATGGTAGCATTGATAGATATAGGACGATAGCCCTTTTTTTCCTATCTAGAATTTTCAGGGCAATTTGCTCTTAGCAATTGCATGTGGCACCAGTTTAGACTGGATAATTATAAAAGAGGGACTTTTAGCACCATTTCCTTCCTTTACAGCTCCCTGGGAAATGTTTACCCATTAGCTGTAGTGGAGAGCTAGCTGAATTATGAGACAAAAAGCTTTTGCTGGGGATGGTTATGTTGCATTGCCTGCCCTTCTTTAAAGGGTTTACCTAGTATACATTGGGTATATAAATTATAACATGAGAAAATGGTATCCGTGAGCTTCCTAAATTTATGGACAATCCAATAGAGATGCAGAAAACACAGGATTAATGTGGTCTAGGGCTTGGAAACAGACGCTGCATGCTCAATGCACTCCAGCAAAATCTCTTTGAGAGCTGCTTACGTATTCTCTGAAATTTCACTTGTCATTTAGAAAAACAAAAATGTGTTAAA